GGATAGGGATAGGGATAGGGATAGGGATAGGGATAGGGATAGGGATAGGGATAGGGATAGGGATAGGGATAGGGATAGGGATAGGGATAGGGATAGGGATAGGGATAGGGATAGGGATAGGGATAGGGATAGGGACAAGGGCAGGGGATGGGTATAGGGATAAGGATAGAGGCAGAGACTGAGGTGGGGAAGGGGATGAGGACCTGGATGAGGATGTGGACCGGGAGAAGTAGAGTGACAAGGAGCAGGGACTGAGACTGAGACAGGGACAAGGACTGGGATAGGGATAGGCATGAGGCAGAGACCAGGAGATGGACAGGGAGCTGGGACCAGGATTGAGATGGGGAAAAGGGCTGAGAGCAGGCTGGGCACTGGGCCAGGTCATGGACAGGAATGGCACTGGGGACAGGGAGAGGGACAGGGAGAAGGATCGAGACTGACACGAGGACAAGGGGCAGGACCAGGACAGAAACTGGCACTGGGACAGGGATGGGGCAGTGACAAGGAGAGGAATGAGACTGGGATAGGAACAGGGGTGGGGACCAGGAGGAGGACAGGGAGTGGGAGAGGGACAGGGATAGGGACTGGGAGGGGGAGGGAGAAGGGACAAAGGCTGGGACCAGGACAGGAACCGGCACCAGGACAGGGAGAGGGACAGGGACTGAGATAGGGACAGGAACCAGCACAGGCAGCAGGACAGGGACAGAGATGGGCACTGGGACCAGGAAAGTGACTGACACCAGGAGAGGGACAGGGAGAAGGAGAGGCAGAGACAGGGACAGGCATGGACACACGGCCCATTCAGACATGGGTATGGGGGCACACGGGGTACCATGGGAACAGAGGGACACAGCCAGGAGGGAACAGGGACACAGCCCTGCACACATGGGCACCCACAGCCATGGCACACACCTGGGTGACAGGGACACACACCTGGGAGACATGGACACACACCTGGGTGCAATGAACACACAGCTGAGGAACACGGACACACACCTGGGTGACACAGACACACACCTGGGTGACACAGGCACACACTGGGGTGACAGGGACACACACCTGAGCAGCATGGACACACACTGACACACAAGCACCCCAAAACCCCGCTGCCCCCCACACCTGACACCTCGACACCCCCACCCCAGCAGGTGCCAGACACTCCCAGCCCTGCTCCTGCCACGTGTGCCCAGCTCATGTGCCACCGGGAGGATTTGCCGGCTGGATTAGCCCCGGCACGGGCCTGGGCTGACCTGCTTTGGGCAGGGGCCACACTGGGGACGGGGCTCAGGGCCGTGGGACCCAGCTCTGGGTGCCGTGGCACGGGTCTGGGTGTGTCCCCGTGTCCCCCGTGTCCCTGGTGTGTCGTAACTGCGGGGGTTAATCACAGGCTGGGCACGGCTCTCCTCCCACGGCCGAGCAGGAGCCGGTTTAACCACACAAAACATTCCGATTGCGACGGGCCAGCCGTGCCATAAACAACAGCCATGGGCACGGCCAGCCTGGGAAACGGTGTGGGGGACTGTGGATTCGGGAAGGACACCAAAACAGCACCTGGCTGCCAGAGCTGCCCCACAGAGGGGACAGACAAGGGACATGCATGGGGTGTGAATGGCTCAGGGGAGCACCCAGAGGTTTGTGGGATATCTATGGGTCCATGGGACATGCACAGACCCAAGGGACACATATGACTCCATGGCACATGTACAGCTCCTTGGGACATGCACAGCTCAATGGGACACAGGCGGTTCCATGGGACATCCACAGGTCTGTGGGGGACACATGGCTCTGTGGGGCATCCACAGCCCCAGGGGACATGTTTCATGGGACAGGGATGCTTCCATGGGATATCCTTGGACATTTATGACTTCACTGGGCATCCATGGGACATCCACAGCTCCACAGGACACATATGGCTCCATAGGACATGCAGAGCTCCATTGGACATCCATGGCTCCGTGGGACATCCACAGCTCCACGGAACATGTGCAGCCTCACAGGAGGGGACAATGGGGACAGGAGAACCTTCCCCTGCTCTGGACCCCGACCAGAGTGGCTGAGGGTGCCAGGGGCTGTGGCACCTGCAGGGACCTCTTCTCCTGGCCAGGCCCCCCTTCCTGGCTGGGCTCCCCCCTCAGGGAGGTCACCTCTCCCTGGGGACACAGGGCCACTGTACAGGAACTGGCAGTGGGAGGGTGAACCCCATGTTCCTGGTGCCTCTGCCCTGTCCCTTCTCTCTGGCATCCTGCCCCCGATCCCCTGTCCTCCAGTCAGTGCCTGAGCACTCTGTCCCCTGCCCCCATCTCCCATCCCTGTCCCCATCCCCTCTCCCTGGCACGCCCTGCCCCAGTCCCTGACCCCCAGCCCTGTGCTGTCACCCTGTCCCCACCTCTGGCCCCTGCCCCACTCTTCGTCATTGTTCCCACCTTTGTCCCTTGTCCCCATCTCCTATCCCTGTCCCCTCTCCCTGCCACCTGCCCCACCTGCACCCCCCAACCCTGCTGTGTCCCCCAAACTCTCACAGGACCCCCACCCTCCTGTACCCTCCATAACCCCCACAGAGCCATACCCTCATCCCTCCCATGCCCCCCATA